AAGAGATTAGTAAGACGGATCACCCAAGCATGGTCTAGTGCAAACGCCTAATCAAGAGTCTTTAGCTAAAGATACGCACTGTAAAACTAGTCAGGTCAGTGTCAACGTCAAAGACTTACGAAACTACTTAAGTTGTAAGTCCACCTATCACAACAGGCTTTCCAATCCAAACAATAAATTTATGACCCTTCGAAAATGATAATCCTTTCGTCAAGTTAGTTTTTTATGATCTCACAAGACCGATCAGCTTATCCAGAATGTTTGTAAAGCTAATACAGCTATACCGGCCAGTATGAAGGTTCCATTGTTAGATACGGGCTGTTGATCTCCAGTCTTGAATGTATGACTAATGAGAAGGCGTTCTAGGCTCTTGGGAGTTCATTTTCGGCCTGGAACATGCTAAAAAAACTATTTGTTGAGAAGTAGACAGTTCAGCAGGCTACGGTGCCCTACTATGAATGAGGATTTTGGGCAATCAAAAGACTTTCCATTATGATAAATAGTGATTCCTTAAACTATGCATTGATGATATTGTCTTGTTACCTTTCGGTTGTCACCATACCTAGTAAGACGTATTCATGTTTCAATCCTTACTATTTTAGTATTAACCTCACGTATAAAATCGACTGATTGAGGTAAAATGTGAAAGTAGTCTTGAATAGGCTTCTGGAATGAACAAGTCTGACGATGTGTATCTCACAGTAATTGTAGAACGCTTAAAAACGGTAATGTCTGCTGATACTGGTAGTATGAAAAAGGATCGATTGAAAGAAAAAACTTTATACGACAAGTATAAATTACCTGGCGTTTTAGAATTACTTACACAAACAAAAGCAATGGTCATTAGTTCAAAGGACAGTGGTATTTTTCTGCCAAGTACATTTTATAGTATTGTTCGTTAAATCATACATCAAGACTACTGTCTTTGCTTTAATTGAATTTATTTCAGTTGAAGTAAAGATACAAAAAACAAAGAGTACTGGTATTTATTTCTCCTCGTTCAGTATACCTTTTAGTGTTGTTTGTATCCAAAGGTGTTTAGGTCTTTTTGTAACTACAGAACTCGGAGTTTTCGTTGTAGTTAGGTACAGTTATACACAAACCTCTGTTTTTGTTTGTGTTCCGTGTCTATCACCTATCAAGCCTTAAAAGACGCCTATGTAAAGATCAAATTTTGCTGTGAGACCATAAAAATAATTTATGGGGCAAGTAAAACATCCTTGTGTCAGACGTGCATGCTGTTTCACTGTCAATAGCGAAATTCTTTGTGATAACTGCAGTGAGTGGTATCACAGTGTATGCACTGGACTCACATCAGCTGCAAGCCATTATCACGTTGGCTGTGCAAAAGCATGTTGTTCTACAAAATCTCTGCTGATTCTTGAGGCGATTGAGCATCCGAACATAACTAAAAAATTGCCCCAAGTAAACAGGTAGCATTATATGAGCAAAGTTCGGCTTTTGAGGAACTAGCGAGCGTCATCATGGGCCCAGCTCTGGATTCAAATGAAAGCATAAATGTGGACCCCATTAGGAAGCAGAAAACAAACATACCAATGTAGGCATTGTCACAAGGAAAGAGAAAAAGCATGCTGAAAAAACTTAGTATAGACAGTACTAAGATTTGTGAATCTACAGTTACAGTCACGTATTCACATATCAACTCAAAACAGACTACGGGGGAGCAAAGTCTGAGCTTTATAAAGTGTTGTAACGGGTGTGTGACTGCAGGTTTTAGATACGCAGCGTATTTATCGATCGCGATCTGTGACAGTGACACGGAAAACACGTACGGACGACCTAGTGCCCTGATTGGCCCTGCTTCGCTGTCCGTCCTAGCCCAGTTGAGTGAAGAACACAAGTCACAGCCTCGGAGTTATGAATCATTGTATTTCAAACATACTCTATTTATATACCAAGCAAACAACCCACATCGTACCATAAAATAGGAAACAACATTTGTACAATATTTAACAAGTGAAATAAACATCGACCAATAAGAAATGTACATTTAAGGTTCAAGGACACCATTGAACTTAACATGGTAATTATTGGTCTCTTTTTCCGACTATCCCAACATAAAGGATGTGATCAAGAGACAAAATAAGGTACCGAATTGGCTTACAGTCACACTCAGAATAAAGAGTTAGAAAACAGAGGGAGACCTCTGCGTCTGACGCCAAATCGGAATCGGGTCGCAGGCAGAAGAAGATTTAAGGAATTGAAATTCCACGTGTTAAGATGGATCGGCTAACAGGTCAGTCATTTTTCATAGGTTATGAGGATCTTCCGAAAAGGAACCAAATGCTAGATTTGAGCACGATCTCAGGCACTTTAGTCCTTAATGAGCAAGCTACTCCCAGAAACAGTTTCAGGAGTTAGCATCTTTAAGCTTTATAGAATAGGACAAAAGGTGGATCCTAAAAGTACTCAGAAAAGCCGCCTCTTGAAGGTTACTTTTGCTTCGGCTGAAGAAAGGAACCTGGTACTGAGAAACTCACAAACTGATTGGATACGGAATATACGTCCCTGAGGATCTCAGTCTGGCTGGCCATATTAAGAGACGATTGGTAGACGTAGAAATGAATGAGCGCCGCCGAGACAGTGAATGAAATCTCATAATAAAGGGTCTTCACATTGTGAACGTTCGGAGCAAAACGATTCTCAAACCACTGTGGGTGGTAAGTGAAAGTTTTACACAGAATTAAAGATGTGTTAGTCAAATGCTTGCAGCCTACTAAATAAAATGGCGAAGCTCAACACAATGACGGATACAGAAAAACCGGATGCCATTGCTGTTAACGTCATCGGTTAACGTCAGAAGTTTTTGATAACGAAATTTAGTCAACTGGATTTTTATGCAGTAGAGCTGATAGACTAAACCGTGGAGGGGGTTGGGTTATCAAGTACACAAATAGTATCCTAACCATACGAACTGTTGAGACAGTGGCACACTATTCAGGGATATGTGAACTGGTGTGTTGCAGGTTGAAATGTAGACGGTAAGATATTGAATTACTTGTAGTATGCCGCAGTCCAGAATGTGTGGTAGATGGTGCAATAGGGGTAAAAGCCTTATGGTATGCGGCTTTAATGTGTCGTATATAAACTGTGTAAACTTAAAAGTAGAGTCATCGACAATGTCGTTGGATTGCTAATTGTTGGATACGACATTGCCTTAGCTTTATTCCAGCACATTAGAGGTCCCACCAGATATGAATCACGAAGCGCCTCGTTTTTCTTGGACTTAGTCTTCCCACACGATTATGATGTACGTCAAATGACTTTCCCCCACCTATAGGGAGAAGTGATCACACAGTCATCTTATGCAAGTTTATGGTTGAGATGGCCTGTCAAGTAGTTGCGCCGGTTCGTCTTAACATGCGGAAGGCAGACACAGAGGCGATAAATCCTGTGGAATCGTCTGAAAACCGTATAACTGCCCCCGGCGCATCAGTAGAAGAGGTATGGACAGGCAGTTATACAACCAGGTAACTCAACCACATATACTCTGGACTGTCCAAAAGAAGAGAAAAGCAAGGTCATCCCTGGATAGACTTGAATATTCGACGTTTATTAAGACGGAAGAAAAAATGTTGGAACGTTGCCAAAAGCCTTGGCACAGCAAGTGCTATGGAACACTACAGATCGGAAGGAAATAAGTGTATAATTAAAACCCGGGAATCGCAGAGAAAATATGAAATGCAGTTGGCATAATCTGCAATCCACCAGCCTAAGAGATCAACCTGGTATATAAATTACAAAACAAGGATGCAGCATTGGTTTCCCAACACAATTGCAGAAGGGAGTGGATCTCAAATGATAGAAAATGACCAGGAAAAATTAGAGGATATGACCAATAATTTTGGGTCAGATTTCACTCACGAGCCTCTTCTAGATGAATAAGTAAGCCCAAATACAAAGTCAACAAGCCGTCTGCCTACTGTGAACTTCGGTCCAAACGATGTACTGTAAACACGGAAAAGTCAACAGGACAGGATGAACTACACCCCAAAATCCTCAGGAAAATTGCATAATATGATGCAACCCCACCAACTGTGATATTCAATATGTCACATGGCCAAGGTGTGTTACATATGGACCGGAAGAATGCAATCGTCCCTCCCATACACAAAACAGTACCAAGAAAACTTCCATCGAACTACAAACATATCAACCTAACCAGTGTCGTAGTTGAAGTACTAGAAGTACTAGTCAAAAAGATCAAGTTAGATACTATTATGTTCACTACAGTATACACAACCATAGTGAGAACTAAGCTTGAAAACTGAGTTCAGGCAGCAAGCCCCCGTTTAAAAGGCAACTCGGATATCCTGGAAAAAGTACAGAGGGCAGCTACCCGTGTAATTCCGAAACTCCGTGGTTTACTATACAAAGAGCAGCTTGAAAAGCTAGACCTCTTTTCACCGTCCTGTCGCAGATTAAGAGGTGAACTGATTTTGATGTATAGAATACTAAGAAATGATTTTTGACTCAATAAATACTCTTTTTTTCTCACCAGATTGGGACATCTCAGAAGACATAGCGGGCGAGTAGAAAAGCCCAGAACGAACGAAATACCCATGGTATATAGGTTTTCACACCGAGTCATTAATTCTTAGAACCTCTTACCCGAAGCAGTGGTGTCCGTACCTTCAAATGACTCATTCAATGGAGTGCTAGATACTCACGGAAGCATATTACAAAAGGAATAACATAGACCGTAACCCTTTTGTCGTTACTACACAAATCTGAGATCTGAATTGGACATTCATTCCATATGCTAAATGAAATCTGAATATATTGGAGACTGAGGTATTCTATTCAGTCTAACTTTAAATAGAAACTTATTTTCTGAAGATGTTAGGAAACCATGAATCGATTGACCACCATTTTCTTCTTTGTTTATTCGCTTGTAGGTATACTCGTTTCCTGTGAACCGCTAGGTCTCAGTGGTCTGTTGAGAGTTTGAGCGTAAGGTCTGTTAGTGTGCCCTCAAGATGTCAGACGACTGTTATAAATGTGGACGTCCCGGTCATTATGCTCGTGATTGCCAAGCTGCCCCAAGAGGTGGTGGTAGAGGTGGAGGCGGAGGTTATCGCGGTGGACGAGGCGGTGGTGGTGGAAGAGATCGTGACAATAACGATGGCCGTCGAGGTAAGTGTGGTTTAGACGTTTTGCGGTCTTATAAACAGTATTACAAGTAAATTAGTTATTAGTCATGTGACACTTAGAAATGTCTCACAGCTAAACGATCAGTTGCGTACGCTTAGTTTTTTATGTTTGCAGACGGCTGTTTCACCTGCGGTGGGCTTGATCATTTTGCTCGAGATTGTACAAGTGGTCGCGGACACTATGGTGGTGGTGGAGGAGGTGGTTACGGGGGATATGGTGGTCGCGGTGAGTTTGATGCGTTCTGCGTAATATCTGAATGCACGTCTGGGCATCGTGTGTAGTTGATGTGTCAGAAAGAGTGTTGCTAGTTGTGTGGTTAGTGTAGATTGTTTTGCGATCCCAATGTTGCAACTGAGTATGCCTAAGTATTTGTTTGTATATTGTAGACAAATGTTACAACTGTGGTGGGACGGGACACTTTGCACGAGACTGTACAAATGATGGACAGCGAGGTGATAGTGGCTATAATGGTGGAGGCGGTGGTGGTGGTGGTCGTTGTTACAATTGTGGTGAGTCAGGTCACATCGTTCGAAACTGCCCAAATAATAACAGAAATGACATGAGCGATACGCTGTGCTACAGGTATTGAATCGATGTGATGTACTGTAACTTTGCTTTAGATGTAATAAATATGGTCACTTCGCGAGAGACTGTACGGAGAGTGGAGGTTCTGGTCCTCAGTGCTATAAATGCCATGGTTATGGCCATATAGCAAGTCGATGCAATGTGGAGGCGTGAATGAAGTCCGTTTGAGATGATGCTCAAAGTCGTAGTGCCCCGGTACACTTTCGCCCTGCACTCACGACAAGGCGAATGCATTAAACTGAAATACAAGCTTCCTGATAAACTTTTTCCCGTTACATTGTTTAGAGGCTTTTGATTTTTTTGTCTGGAATAATAAGATGTATGGTTTGTGAGATATGTTGGCTAGCGTATGAAAAACAGTTGTATCAGGTCACTGGCGTGAACGTCTGTTAAAAGCGATTGAGATCTGCACAAAAACTTTATCTAATGGTTATCTTGATAAGGGGTTTCAGTCATTCAAATGGACTTAGGAAGTGTGCCTAAACTGGATTAAGACACTATCTGTTCGAGTGGATTACAGGGTTGAGTCTTGCAGATGACACGTCGCGAGGGCTTAGTTGAGTAAGTCATATAGTGGTTAGAAATTGGTCACTTGTACGAACACGAGACCAGACAATTTGCTGAAGTAAATCATGACAAGTGTTCGTCATTACGAGAAAAGCTGCTGTGCAGGATCCGCCTAAATGGGCTCTTCCGGGATCCCGACGCCAAAGTTTCTGGCAGTCTTCTATGGTAGTTTGTATGCTGTGTAACTGGTCTTAATTGTTGGACCGTGCCTATAACAACTGGCTCACAGGTTTGGGTAGCGTGGTTAAAGTTGGCCCTCCTACATCAAGTCGTCAGGTTGACAGGTGACCAGTCGCCAAATGGTAAGTAGATATGTTTTCTAACAGGATGCCTATTAATGGGTGACCTCCAGTAGGCAGTCTTCAACTTCGTTTAATACGTGTGCCATGTCATTTTTGCGCATAATAGAGATTATGACGTCTCGGTTCTAACTACTTGATAACTGATGGGTCTAATCTTCGCTCTGCTAAGTTACACTTATCATTTCGTTTGTAACTAGCGTTCGTGTTCAATTCTACTCGACACAATTTCTACTGCAAGTGTAGTTAGTCTCAATCCAAAGAATGCTATCTTGTATGTCATTGTCATAATCAATTGCTCGGCAGTTACAAAACTAGTGATAGGCGTGATCGCAAACATACCTTGTCCATTTATGGATGTGATCCTGTTTATAGTGTATTGAGGTTCTGTTTAGTCAGGAACCTTCATTTCTTTGGCAGTTTACTACTACGCGTAGTTTTATTTCATTAGAATTCTGTGTACCAAATTAGTTTTCACGTGCAGCCATCCGAAGTTTACGTTGGACTACAGAGGAGTGATATTCCCGATGAGGTTCTATTTGGCGGAGACGCTAGCTAGATACAGTCTTTTGACCACTTTAAGCAACGATGTTCGTGAAATATGTTGCTTTAGGATTGAGTTGCAGCGGCACCTTTACTTATCTTGGGAGTCCCTTTTGAATTAGTGTGCGACGAGATCTTAGTGCGGATACACGAATAGCAAAATTTATGGCGTAGGCTAGATATCTGTCGACAAATCAACGGACGGGTCTACTGCGCAGCAGTTCGATCCGTCTTAATGTATATAATTGTGAAACGGTCGGTGAGGGTACAGGATATTCGAAGGCTCTTAGTATTCGATCATAGATGTCACTGGAGCATTGCTCGTATATCCTGGAACCGCCGAGTCAGTAATGCATTTGTTAGGTAGGGTTGGCAATCTAATCAATGCGGCAGTGGGAGTTCATTTGAGATTACTAGGACATGTGTTACCTCTGCCCAACTACCGACCCAGGACGACACGTCTAGATCGCTTGCATTGTGCAGGTGCATGCACTGTGTTTTCCCAAGTCTTAATATGAATTCTTCATATCCTTCCCAAGTTTGTTTCAATGGTTTATACTCTTTGAATAACATCCTCAAACCATAATGTTCTCGAATGCAACATCTACTACAATGGGATTTGAATCGGCAATTGAGTCTCTTATGTCATATGATAACTCGAACGGATGTGCGTATATACGAAGTTCTACATTGTTGCTGACTGACTGGAGGATTCTTAGTAATCAGTTGGTACGGGTAGTAGTTCTCGGGAGAACTACTAGCTAACTAATTCTGGAATACGTCATTGGAAATCCGTACTCATACTGAGCCATTAGTGGAATTCGTTTCTAGTGCTTAAAGTTTTCTTTTGACGTATACGTCGTATAATTAATGCCTGCTGTATCATCCTGAAGTTTCAGTTTTCATGGAACCTTGTTCGTGTTGTTGGCTTGAGAAGTAGCTTTTCCAAACTTGATGTCACGAGATGACAATTATTGAGAGTGATTGGGCGATTTTTTCATCATGGTTCATATTGTTACCTGACGGATGTATGTCGTTGTTTTTAATTAGGTACTGATCAGTATGCCTAAGATTGATACAATTACCGTTTCATAATCAATGTATTAATAGCAGAATGGTCTAACACATTGCTCAAGGAAGCGAAGTCGCCATAAGACTCGAACATCAGCCCTCGATGTAGTTTGACTTGGACACCCAATAGTTGTGTTATGCAAGTGAAAGGATAAAGGTTGGTTGCAAAGTTTACCACGTTGATCATAGTAATCCAGCTAGGGGAAACTTGATTCTGTAGTCTTGAATACGCGTTTGGATATGTAAACTGACAGTAGATAACCTACCAACTTAAAAGTCATACTGTTTTGCTATTATGAGAAAGTTGAGCTACTTTTGTCTCGTAGCCGGGATCATACCGTACAACCAATTCATTTAACACAGAACAACTGAGAGTTGGGACGATATTGTTAAAGCTTCTTCTGGTCAGGATTATTACATCCAGTCCTCTTTCATTCTATGAAGTATTTGTTGGTAAAACTGGTACATTTTTTTTTTAGCCAGGATTGTTGTTAAATCTCAGTAACAACTGTGCAGCATATCAACTTTCCTATAAATCTTTTCTGGGCATAATTGTTTACACCTTCATGTTTCCATGTGTGTATATGATTATTACTCGTGCCTACCGGTCGTCATGAATTGTTCCACGACGAAGTTCTGATAAAGTTGTTCCTACCAAACTAATGATTAAATTGACCATTTAGATGAGGTAAAGGTTATCGTGTCATAATTCACTTATCCTATGTTCGAATATCCTAGTCTCCCTTCAACTAGTCGACTCAGCTACGAAAGAAACTTCGTGTTCAACCTTTGAATAAAGTTCTGCATCCAAAGTAAAACGGGAAATGTCTACTGGACGTCATACTCAAGGAACATAAACTAATCTATGAACTCGAGCTAGTTAATACCCTGCATAATAAAACGTGAAGGCGTTCCGGATAATTGTCGACTCAATAATGCCCACTAAAATGTACTTTTGTGTAATCATATGCTCACCACATAAACTCTGGATTGTGCGTTTAAATTGACTTTCATCTAAGTGCTACTTAAAAATTATTTATGAATCTATTGCAGTTGTCGTTCTGTTATGATTATCAGCTGGAACAGTCAAATCTTGTTAATTCCATATGTTGTAATACAATCCTTTTGTTGGGGTTTACGTCTGACAGTGAAGCTTTATGCTATGCATGACCTGATATGCATCCCTACCTTCTTGGATTCACTATGCTACGTTAGGACTTTGAATAACTCAAGTCCATTAGTTTGAAATCGCTGCTGTTAATAATTTAAAGTTCAAAATATTTTCATTTAAGCTTTTACTTATGTTGTTTCTTTTCAATTAGATGTTGCCATCTAAAGTGATACTCAACCACTGGTTTATATATCCGTTGTTAAATTTAGTTGTCCAGATCAACAAACATCAGAAGTAATGAAATAACTGGACACTGACCGAGCGCCGTTCAACCTAATCACGAGCGATGCACGTTACTGTAAAATAGGTTTGTAATCACAAGACAAACCAAAAGGAATAGATAACACAATAGTGTGGGACTTCAGTTGTTGCTGATTCACTCATTAGCTCTAACATCAGTTGCCCACTCAGTCCCGCTAGTTTTCACTTTTTGGGACGTATGTTCGTGTATTCCGTTTTCCATTTCCTTGATTTCATTAATTAGATTTCCATTTAGTCAAACGCATTGACAAAAAATTAACTGAATTTACACTGTGAAACCAATTATTGTAATAAACGTTCATTTGACAAGATGTATTGTTTTTGCTTATTTATGTACTTGAAGTCCTCTTGAAGCCCTGAGCAAGCTTGGCGAATAAGAGCATACCTAGTTCTTATTTCTGATACGAAATAAATGTTAGGAAATAAGTTCATGGGGACACTTCGAGTTTTCTGACATTCGTGACCTAGTGTTGTGATTTCAGTTGCGTGTTGTATCTCAGTAAATCATGTGATTTATTATCACAGGGATAAAGGATACTTAGTGCTACTTTTTTAAAGGGATAATTTGTTAGGTTTGAATAAGTCCAATTGTTAATGAGGCTTAAAGGGAAGTCATTCCACTGACAAGGTGTGAAGCACTAGAGGAAATAGAGTTGTGTGTTGATGTTTACAGCAATCAATCTGTAACTATAAATCATCCGATTTCTGAAATCCCAGCGTTTCGTTCTGTTAGGAATGTCTACTAGCATCCGGTTATTAGAGTTTGAAAGAAATAGTTCCCGAAAAGCTACACGATCAGTATATTAATGGGAGTGTGCGAGGGATAGCAATAGAAATTGAGACTCGCATTAAATTAGATTTCAAGAGCTTTTCTTTCGTACTGTCAATAGACAGTAGTAGATGGCCATGGCTTAAAGGTCAGTTATTCTGTTGCTGGCATGGAATTTGATGATGGAGTCGCTAAAGACTTCAGTTACAATAAAGCGTACTGACGATACTTCCATTTTTGGTAAAGTAAACTAAACACAAGACGCTGCTTATTCGCAGGTCTCAATAAGTTCAATTTAAGGGCTGGTACTTAAGGCGATCTATCTAGAAAGCGATCGTGACTTTAGTTAAGGAAACAACAATGCAGACGGATACGTTGACCTACTATCATCCTCTTATCGTATATTAAAACCTTTAATCTCTTAGGCGTGATTTGTCATGTGTACATCTGATTTACACTGGGTCACTGTTAGGGCGTTCAACACTGTTCTTGTCTACAATGTCAAATGTTCTGGAAATAAAAGTTTAAGATCGTTGTAAACAGCTCCATAAGGAATGCTTTCTTGATCGCTAAGCTCTGTATTCTTGCCGATAGCTCGTTCTATAAATGTGATTTATCTACTCTAAAGAAGTGGCTTACATTAAGTCACGA